GGCAAATAGGGGGGGTGTGGGTAAAATTAGGGGTACCCTTTTGGGGGTCCCTATAATAAGGACTATCGTATTTGGGGGTCTGTATTGGGGTCCCCTTATTTTGGGAAACTACCAAATAGGTCTACACGAAAAGCATTTATGGGTGTATGTTCGCGAATGGCAACGACGGACACACCGACATCTCAAAGCAAGGTTTCACCGTTCAAGGGCTCTGCATGCTGAGTTCACCATGAGTAGAAATGTAGAAAAGACAGAGAGCACAGTGAGCATCAGAAAACGGTAATGACACTGCTGATGGACAATTCTGGATTAATTCCTAGCAAAAAACCGTACTGGGAATTTTGCCAATGGTAGCTGTGTCAGCGGCAGCGGCTAGCATCATAACTGAAGTATGAAGTGCATGAGGGTCTTTGGAAATTAGGGGTCCCTCTTCGGGATTCCTTTTATCCGGGGGTGTATATATTATGATGGGATCCATATTGCAAGCCCCTAATTTCAGAAGCCCGCATATTCTACCAGCAGTGGTGACCGCCAGGCCTCACTCGAACCCATGGGTCTGTTGACGCCGCAGCGCGCGCCGCTGCGAGGGCTACAAGAAGCCGCCACATGGCCACTGCCCTTCACCCGCAACTATCGCGACCGGCACCCAAGATGCACTTAGCAAGTACTAGAGATGATGCATGTCGGTGCTCTGATACACATCTGCTCAAAACCATGAAACTCCCTGTACGCATATCCACCTGCGAACGCTCGCCACTGCAACTAATCACTAAACAAGCCTGCATGGACCCCGAGCCTTGCGGCTTGCGTCATGCAATCAGAACAGATTCTTCTTGGACACCACGTATAGCACAGTGACGAATATTTCGCGGTACAAAAAAGCCAGGGAACCCAAGACAATGAAATTGAGAACTTCACGAAACCATCCAACTGGTGGTAGAGACTCTGGTAAAGATTGATCAACAAAAGGCCACAAACATTTCTGCAAGTAACATCTGTAGCACCAAGCATGGGCCCGAAATTCGGAAAATCTCCCCTAAACCCTAAACCCTAAACCCTAAACCTTAAATCAACACGAAGGATTTGTGGGCTACTCTGGGGCCGCGACATGTTTACGAAGCCCATTGGGCTCCTGGGATAGTCACCTTCCAGGGCTTATAGTCCCCCTTTAATAGATAGAATATGGAGAAATATTAGGGTTATAATAGAGTTATATTGGGGTTATATTGGGATAATGGAAAAGAAAATGGAAACTACTATGTAGGGTTTAGGGTATAGTCCCCCTTTAGTAGATAGAATATGGGGTATATGAGGATCTTATTATACTATACCCCAAGTCAGATTCTGTCTAGTTAAGGGGGACTATAGGTGTCTACGCTAGAAGTCAGGGAGAAGGGCCTATGGGTCAAAAGCTGAAAGCTGCATGTTCTTTCCGTCTTTGGGCAAACTACAGAAAGGTATGAGAGCTTCCTCCTGTCCGAGTTCTTATTATCTTCATAAAATCGGCTGCTTAGCTAGGCCTCCGCAAGTCCCAGACCCCTTCTGCCGGATCAAGGAGCATAGCAAACAAGTCATTGGGTTTTAAGGTACAATTCCCCTTAAGCAGATAAAATATGGCTTTGGGTATATTATAATAAGATCCCCATATACCCAATATTCACAGCACTGCACATCAATCCTGCAATGTGGCTTCTTCAAAATGAAGGTTCCCCACGATGCACCCAAGATCAAATATTTGTTTGTAGGGACGCCAAAAGGCAGGCTTTTGCTACATCCTCGTGGCTAGCCTGGCCTGCCGGAGCTCGGAGCCCACCGCGAGGGCTTGTGGTACGCAGGTATGTCTGGATTCTAGATGTTGTCAAAGGCTCCGCAAAGGATGAGGAGGCCGACATACAGCCATCATCCCTTGATGTTGCGTATACCACGAGCATGAAGGGCCTCCACGAGGCCTCCGGCGATACGATTACGGCGCCGACTGGCCAGCGGCGTTTGCCACTGCGAGATGACCATGTTGGACGCCAGGGATTGCATCAATGGACGGCGAGCTGCTCCCTGACCCGCAGCAATGGTGCAGCTTCCATTGCGGGCAACTTAGCCCACCTGCACGCCAAGGAGGTCTTGCCGTCGCCATGTTTCCTGAAGGTGGCGCCAGCGCTGAGAAGGCCACCAGTGATTCGCCACACACCTTATTTTGTGTTGCATGGTGTGCCACAAAAAATCATGGGCTCGTTTTGGGTGCCAGCATGTACCAACCATAGTACGTCAGTGACACCTAATAGTTTGGGGGACAAGTTAGACCCTAATTTTGGACACGCGACTACCCACATGCGAGGCACTAGCGTGTTCGACCAGTGGAGCGGAGTTCGGCAGTAGAGCGGAGTTCAGCCGCCAGTTCCTGAAGGACGTCTGAATTTTCTAGTGCAGGGGCGGTTTTCCTGCTTGAAAAGTTTTAGCTTACGGGCGGCGCTCCTTTACACTGGCTAAATAATGGGACTTCTACCAGACGTGCCTTGGACGTGATCCTTCACTGGCCCCCACTTGTGAGGAGTTTTTGGTTGCGGGCTCGCAAGCTAAACGCTCGGAAGTATAAAAAGTCCCGGAAGAATCCTCCCAAATGCTGCCCTCTGCCCATACACATAGTCCCGTTCGAATCGTTGCCGCAGAACGCCTGCTAAAAATTCAAATCCGCCACGCAAAACTAATGCAATGCTTCGCCAACCTCTCAAGCTACACCTGCGAAATTCAAAATCCGGACAGAGTAGATACACCGTATGACATGCACTACCAGAAAGAGGACTCGCAAACTGCCGAGACGCGCCGCCATACACCTTGAACCCTGAGCCTCAACCCAAAACCTTTTACATTCCTGGATGACACAAACATGCCCCACATACCATCATACCGCCGCACAAGTCGTGAACAGCGTCAGCTGCATGGATCTCTCCGCGCAGAATGGCATGCCGAATAGCTCGGGCTCTCCTGGCGCCCCAAGACGATGGCGTTGACTTGCGGTTTGTAAGATCTCGGGTTTGGGCGGTGTCGGTACTTTGCCCTGGGATGCACGCCCCCTTGGTTGCTTACGGGCGTCTCGGTTGGGGCAGAGTGCTGCGGTCTTCGGGTTTGTGGGGCCTCGAAGCTGGAGGGCTCGTAATGGATCGGCTCGAAAGAAATCCCGAAAAAGGGATCTCGGGGATTGACGACCTATACAAACGGTGGTTCAAAAAGTTTGAGAATGAGTAAAACTTTCTAGATCTATAAAGCCCACAGAACCTATAGAGCTAATGAGGCAGAACACCCATGGAGCTAAGTTATTCCTGTCTGCAGCTACACACAAAGCCCGGAAATACCCAAAAACAATCCAGGAAATTTGAAAAAAAAAGCGGAGGCGGTCACTCTCTCCATGGAGACATATGCAAATGAAATGGAAACTGAGCTTGCATGTTAAAATATTGGTTAGGCTTTTTCTGCACAACCTTCTGCATCTGCATCCCTGGCTCTTCCAAATCATGTCCAGATTTGCGCTGGGGCATTGCTGGTGACCCTCCCGGCCTATACAAGAAATCAACCTGGAGAACCGCACTCCCGAACCCCTCATAGCTAAACGTGAAACAGAGTAACAGAATAAGTTATATGTGTGCCACAGTGTTGGTCCCTATGTGGGTCCCCTTGTAAGAAACCATTGCTTTTACAGCTCGCGCCCCTGACATAAAAAGGAGCAGCCATCTACACAGGATCTGAATATGATCCCTGCCTACTTTCCAGAAGGACACGCCAACATTTGGGTAGTTCCCAAAATTAGGGTCCCATTTGGGTACCCCTGAATAATAGGTACATGCATCACAAAAAAAAGGGGCCCATAATTTGGAGAATAACACATTTGCTGGCATGCCACTCCCTCAGGACGTCGGACAATGAGGACTTCGAGGGCGATGGGGAATCCACCTCCTGCTGGCCCATTTTGTCAGGGCAAGGTTCGCCCTAAAAATTACATCTCCAACATTCCAGCATCCCCTAACAAAATCCTAGGTCCCATAAAACGAATGTTTTGTGTTCAAAACAGTAATCACCCCACTATGTGCAAACCATTTGAAAATCCTCTCTTTGTGTAAACTTTTCTACGACTGCATCCCGGCCCCAAGCCAGCCTCAATCTCGCTGGGTTTGATTTCCCCCGACTTCCAGGAACCCAGAAGCTCCTGTTAGTGCGAGGGATGAATACTATTCTGCTTATTACTCATATTTCATTATTCCTATTGCTATTCTTGTTTGTATTAACAATATTACTCTCACTATTACTGTTACGTGTGCAGTGTCTGGGGCGTAGAGTTAAGTGCGGCAACGTCCAGTGTGATCCAAAAATTACCACTATACGCTCATACCATCATGATCAACCCGAAATCATCCCCAACCCTTACAGGATTTAGGGTTTAGGGCTTACATCCTCCAAACCATTGCCCGACCTGAGCAATAGTCTAGACACCTAGCATCCCCCTTGATAACCCCTATACTACTCCCCTATACCATCCCCTCTTAACTTCCCCGTCGAAGGAATTTAGACTACACATCACCTACGCTCTATCGTGAAACAGGACGGCAAACGCCCAATACCTACCCTCAACAAACCTCAACCCTAAGCCCGATACCCTAGATCCGCAGCATTCAGGCCCGAACCCTACAGCCCAATGGGAGGAGCTTCTTGAAAAAAGATGCTAATAGGGACCCGCGACCCCAGGCATATGGGTTTGCACCTTGACTACTGTGGTCCGACTTCTGTACACTACCCGTCCTACCTACGCATACCTACGTCGTGGAGAGGGGGGAGTACTATAAGTGTTTTTTGACGGCATGCCAGAATTACATGCGGGGTATCCATCAACGTAAGGGCTTCATAACTGGGAAGGCCCCACACACCATAATCCCTTTTATAGGTATATACCCTCACAAGAAATGGCCACAATCTTCATAACCTAACCCTTTTTGAGCCCAGACTCTGCACCAGGATCAGCTGGGAACCTAAACCCTCAAACCTAATCCCTAAACACCTAAACTACCTGAAGGCCCTGAACCTGCACCCTAAACATATGTACACCTGAAATCTGCTGGGCGGGCGCCTGCTCGCCAAGCTTGGCCGGATCTCTTTGCGCTTCCTCACCGCGGTCTTTGTCGGGGAGGAGCTCCTGTTCCATGGTAACTCCCTCCCCAAAACCCTAAACCCTAAACCGTAATAAACCCACCCACCTCCATAATAGACCTCCCAAATCTTGCACCATTATTTATAGGGGGAATTGTCTATCATTCGAAGGGGTGCGTAGGGAGCCCAGTACGCCTGAATTATCAAATAAACCCTGAAGTGTACTAGGATACCGACTATGGTTTTTAGGTAAATTATCTTCTTTAAAGGGTATTGGGCTCTCTGAGTCCATCATAGCATGGCAGTATTCGAGGTGAACACGGGAAATTTTAGAAGGCCTTCGTTAAAGGGGAACAGACTTACATGAAAATGTGCCTAGAACGGTTCCTGAAAAGTTCATTCTCTGTGGGCACCTCTATCCCTCAAGCCATCAACAGTCTCTTTTTCCGGTGTTTCTTTGCTAGAACAGGTAAACGCC